AAAAACAAAATAAAAAATATTGAAATCAAGATTCCAATAACCTCTTCAGGAGAATTCGATATAAAAGAGCAAAGAAAAATAGCGGAAAAATATCAGAAAATTGAGGAAATAAAAAAAAATATAAGAAGGCAACTTGAAAAAATTGAAAATACTAAGGTTGACATTGGCATTAGTGAGTAAAAATTGCACATTTTGCCTCCCTTACGAAAACTTAACTTTAATTCTTCCTTTCCGTTTTCTTTACAATCTTTATTTTCTGCTACTTTCTAATAAATTAAACTTTCTTTTTATGTTGAGAATTATTTCCTGAAAAATATTTTTCTACTTCTCCTTCTAAAACAAAAAAATTATAGTTTTTTTCTTAACGTTTAAGCCACTTGACCCGAACGATTACCATAATTACAATAAGTAATAACTAGTTGATTTTTATTAGAAATATAGTTTCCTGGTTCACTAACTAATTTTAAAAAAGGAATACTAATGCTATTAGAAAGTTTTTTTTAGTTCTTGGTGTTCTCAATTGTCTCGAACATCGATGATTAAGGCTTGGTGTTTGTTTATTTTCTAGAATTAGTAGAACTTAATCTTCTAATTCCGCTTCTATCTCAGGTTTCTCCTTTTTTTCATTAATAAAAAGTATACCTCTCCTTTTGAACTCTTTAATCAACCACTTTTTTCTGTCATCAATATCCTTTGGAAGCAGAACTGATTTTTCCAGTAAATTTAGTTCATTTTTTTCGTATTGTAAGGAAGTTTTATTTCTAAATTCTTTTCTTTTTTTATCTCATGTTTTGTTCCCAGCAACGATATTTTGGTTTGGAGTCAACAGAGTAGCATTTCCTAAGGAGTGAAGTTTTTCCTTAATTTGCTTTTTATCTTCTTCTAAATCTTTCCATTCTGGGATAAGCCATCACTCTTTATCAGGCTTTTTAGGAAACATATGCTCTAATTGTAAGGAAGAATAAAAAAAACCTTCGGGTAAAAAAGTTAAGTAGAATTTAGTTAAAAGTCATTTAATTTCACCATCTTTTAAATTTTGTTTTTCTTCTAATTCATCCCAAAAAATGCTACTTTTTTCTGTCTCTTTAATTATATTTGAGTCGCTAAGAATAGATTCTAGTTGACCATTTTGAAGTAATTTTGCTCATCTCAAAACCTCGCTTTGTTGAAAAGTTGTTCTTTTTGTCTTTATCCGAAAAGAATAAATGATTAACTTTTTCAGAACAGTAGCCTCCTTTTTTCCTCGTAATTCTTTTTCTTTTAATAAAATAATTAAAGGATATAGTCTTGTTATTTCTAGGTGTTTGATTTCCAAAATAGGTAAGTAAAAGTTTTCACCTCAATAATCTTGCTGCGGATTTAAAATTTGGCTGTAAATTTTACTTTTCTTAATAATTTCACCTCATAGTCCCTCAATATTTTCTTTTTCTTGAAAAAGTTTATTTCGAAAGTAAGAATAAAACTCCTTTTCTGAATATTCATTTTTTTGCCCATACTTTGCGAGTAAAAAGACATAAAAAAAGTGGCTGATATTTTCTTTGCCAACACTCTTTTTCATACCCTCTCATTCCTGGGCTAATTTTCTACAATCTAAACCTTTCTCTTCATAAATAATAAAAAATTCTGCTTTTATTAAGTCAGTTGAAGTTAACATCACGCCCGAAGTGTTAATTGATTTAAATATTTCTAAAGCATCGTCATCTTTTTCTAACTTTATTGATATAAAATTAAATTTGCTCTTGATTTTTTCAAAGTAGTCTTTTAGATGAATTCCGGTCATGCTACTTCCTCCCAGTTCCTTTTTGAAATACTCATAGGCTTCGGAAATTCTTTCTTTATTATCTTCTAGATTTCTGTGGCTTAAAATGGTTCCCAAAGTTTTTTCATCTTCTCCCCTCATAGTAAGTCGAGGTTGAGGTTTGCGACTGTCAGAGATAAAAAGAAGTTGATTAATGTTTTCTATCAAAAAACTATTTTTAGAATTGTTCCTTTTTAAAACTTCAAGAATGGCAAGACAAAAAACAAAAAAAGTGGTTATCCTTTGCTGACCATCAATAATTAGATATTCAGGAAAAGAGGGATTAGTTTCAGGGTTTTTTTTGTAAATAATGCTACCAATAAAGTGAATTTCTTCAACATCCTCACACTCAATCAACTTCTTTACATCTTTTAGCCACTTTTCTCAATTATCTTTTTTTCATATGTAGTCTCTTTGATAATATGGAATAACAAGTCTTTTATCTTTAAATAAACTTTCAAAAGAAGAAAATTCTAAGGGAAAAATTTTCATAGTGGTATAACTACATTTTAACTTTCTTTACTCTTTAGTTGCGGAAAAGCAATCACCTCCTTAATACTATTTTGACCGGTAAATAACATTATTAATCTATCTATGCCAATCCCTAATCCCCCCGCTGGTGGCATACCATATTCCAAGGCTTCTAAAAATTCCTTATCAAAACTGGCAATCTCTTCATTGCCCAATTCTTTTTGTTTAGTTTGTTCTTCAAACCTTCTTTTTTGCTCTATCGGGTCATTTAACTCACTATAACCATTGGCAAACTCTAATCCACCAATATACAACTCAAACCTGTCAGCAATATTTTTATTATCAATTTTACTTTTGGCTAATGGAGAAACTTCAATGGGATAATCATAAATAAAAGTCGGTTGAATTAACTTTTTTTCCACATATTCCTCAAAAAAAGCCAAAATAACGTGTCCAATACTTTTTTGAAACTTTTCTAATTTTAAGTTATGTTTTTTGGCAAATTCTAAGGCTTCTTCTAAATTGTTTACTTGGGAAAAATCTATATTGGTATGTTCCTTAATCGCTTCTACCATCGATAGTCTATGAAAGGAGTTTTTAAGATTAATGACATGAGAATTAAATTCAATCTCTTCCTTTTTAAGAACTTTATTGACTAAATAGTGAAATATCTCTTCCGTTAAATTCATCATATATTCAGAGTTCT